CACATAAGAAAGCAAAGATTGATGATTCTGTGAAAGTGCCTGATGAAGCAAAGAAGATAAATGTGCAGAATTTTTCAAGGCATGATTCTGACAGCAATGCTGCAAAGGCCTTAGAACCAAATGTTAAAGCTTCTGAAGACAAATCTAAACTTGCTAAGGATTCTCATGGGAAGGTCAAAAGTTTTTTGAAGGAACTGAAAACTGATGACAAGCTAACAAAGCTTGGTAATGGAAAGCTACCTAAAGAGTCTTCTGTACAGCCTCCAAAAGATTACAAGAAGTCCAAGAAGCATGCTTTGCAATCCATGGGCAAGCTGGATTTTGTAAGTTTTGTCGCAGGAATTTCTTTTGCTGATTATTTTTTAAGGTTGTTTTTGAATAAATGTTCTGCCATGATCCTTGCTTGCTTATGAGGCATTTTTGCATGAAGCATTCATATTGTCTTGGCTAAAATAAACAGGCACCAGAGATGTTAAATGGCTGAGAAGTAAGATATTGTTTAACATAGACAAGTTTACCACATTGCAATTTGATATTATGCGTTTATTTTTGAGGGTTTTTTATTCCTAATGCACCTAATATATTTATATTAACGAACTGCTTGGAGTTATTAAAGTCATTTTTTAATTTGTAAAATTCACATTATGATGTTCGTGTAAGGTCAAACTGAAGTGTGCTCCTTTATGCAACAGACTTACAAAAAATGATAAGTGAACTTTGGTTAGACATGTGATTTTGCTTTATTGCACTATAGAGTACATTTTGTTCCCTCTTCCTCTGTTCTTGCCTTTGATGTGAGAACTTTCCTATGAGAATGTCTTTTAATTCTTTGCATTTTGCAATCTCTTTGCATGTTGGCAGGATAGAAGCAAGTGGTTTAAGGAACTTGTAAGTAGTTCTCTCACTCCTGTTCCATTCCCTTAAACTAGATTCTGTGGTGGACTGCACAAAGTTGTACAGGAAAAGCTGGGCTCAGGATTTAGACTAATCTGTAAACTGTCATACATTTCATCAGCCTTGGGAAGAAAGAATGAAGAATGCTCATGAGGAAGGGACTCTTGTTCTGCTTCAAAATTTGGATCCAGCTTACAACTCAGCTGATGTACAGGTAGCTCTTCCTCTCTTTATTTCTCTGTGTGTGTATTTGTAAGAGGGTTTGTTATATGGTATATATACACCGCACAAACACCACCACCACCTGGGCCTACTCCGGTATACAGGTGGCTTGATTTGGGTTACGTACTAGAATCACAGTGATGTGTCTGGTTATATCATCTGCAGTTTCTTTGCTCTCTTCCTCATCTATTTTTTCTTCCAGCTGAGGAATTTCTTTTATATAATATTTCAGGATATAGTTAGACAGGTCTTTAAGGAAACATGCACTGCAAAAATGTTCCAGAGGACTGCATTTTCTAACCCTTATTATGGTATGGGAGCAAGATATCCAATTCTAATGGCTTCCTTAAAACATGAATTTCTTTTTATCTGAGAACTATTAGAAAATAGTACATTGGATAATTGCTCGAAATTACTTTTCTTATGCCACTTTGCACAGGTCACAATTATGACACTATTTTGTCTGTGTTGTAGGTCAAGCTTTTGTTATATTCAAAACAAGGGAAGTGGCACAAATGGTTGTCACCAGGCTGGATAAGGGATGCCTATTACTACCAAATGGAAGGTAGGTACTAAACCTTAATCAATCACTGGTGCCTTGTATCTGGAACTAGTATCAGCATCTTTGGAATTGTGTCATGTTTTATATAGTTGGGTCAACCATGAATTGTAAGCTATGTGTGTCTATGTTATTTTCTCAGTAAGCATTTTAGTCAAACTACCGACCTAATATTTCCTGCCACATTATAGGTCGGATCCTATAAGATGTGTTTTCTTGATTCCCCACTTTAAATGCCAAGGCACTTCTAGGTTTTCTATGACCTTCGGTGAAATGATCTCATATTTCTTAGCGTGTTGGTGTATTCCCCCCACAAAATTTTTATCTCATATTTCTTAGTGTTGTAGATAATTGGAATGTTTTTCTTGTTTTATGTTTTATTTCAAGTTTTGCTTTGTTGTCTGGCAGGCCATTGGTTGCCAGTATTGCAAATCCTTCCTTTCCAAAGAAGCAGTCAACATTTTCTGGTCATCTTACTCTTGATAAACTTAAACTCCAAACGCAACGGGAGATGGTATGGTATAAGTTTTTATTTTATTTTATTTCTCTC